GGCTGTCGTATGAGGATCTCGAGGATTGGTCATCCACGTTAAACAATAGCTTTTGGATCAACAAAAACGGATCCTACGGCGAAAACGATGGTATGGAGTTTCAAGCACGATTTTCTTCGTAAAATAAAAGAAAACAAATAGCCCGACGATAGAACAGACGAAAGAACCTTTGCTTATTTAAGGCATGTTTTTTATGGAATGTGATTTTTTATGTTTCCATTTCATCGAATATAAAATTCCATCTAATATATTTCGAGATATAAGCACGAAAACATCGAGAAGAAACACAAATGTCACTTTTCTTTATGGTCGATCACCGAAAACAGATGTTTCGATACGATCAGTTTATGTCCGATTCTTTAGTGATGGATGACAGACATATATATATATAAATATACAGGGTGATAAAAAATGAACGCATTCGAACTGTATCAAAGGAGAGAATACTTGAAAAGAATTCAATCCAATGCTATTTATTTCATTCGACTATTACGAAAATTGCGAGATAGAGAGGTGGTTCTTATTTTTGATATATTTATAATGATCTTTATCATCCTCCAATGTCCAAATGCATCCGTATTTTTACACCCTGTATTATTAATTATTTATACTATTTACATAAGATTAAGAAAAACAATGTGACCATTTAATTTGAAATTTGATATTTGGGTTTACAATACTCGGAAGGTACTCAAAATCCCTTAAGTCTAAGATAGCTGGCACGTATTTTTGATAAAAGGGTTCATAAAATGGAACGGAGGAATAAATCGTAGGTATATACATATGTATAAAAGTATTACAAGCAAATGATATTGAATCTTTTTGCATAACGAGAAAATAGAAAGTATTTCGAGCAAAATATTCTCTTGAAGAGTAAAGTATTACAAGTTGGGTAAATTTATTTTATAAGTTACTCAATGGATATGTATTTAAATGAACTCTGTCTGATGAAAGGTTAGAAACACGAAACTATTGGATACTCGAATTGTGTGGGCTCGAATTTGACCTTATACTTGTGTACGTTGATTTATTCATTTCCAGAAGATCTATACGATGTGCCGACTAGCGTGACGGTTATCCTCAGTATTTGTTACGGAAGTATATCGGTTCTGGCAATCGTTGGAAATTCTCTCGTAATGTGGGTTGTCACGACAACACGGCGAATGCAAAACATGACGAATTTCTTCATCGCCAATCTCGCTTTAGCTGACATTATTATCGGTCTCTTCGTCATTCCATTTCAGGTAGTTAACATATTCTATTTATATACTTTATATATTCAATATCATTCTTCACATTCTTTTTTCTTCCAAGTTTCAAGCAGCCTTGTTGCAGAGATGGAATCTTCCGCATTTTATGTGCGCCTTCTGTCCCTTCGTTCGTATACTTTGCGTGAACGTATCTGTATTCACGCTCACAGCGATCGCGGTCGATAGGCATCGTGCCATCCTCAAACCACTCAGGTGAGAGATCGTCAAAATAAATGATTATACATCAAAAATGATTAATATCTACGGCTGTGTTGTCTTTAAAAAGTTCTTTATTTTCTTAACTAATGTCCACATTAATTTTTATATATATATAAAGTTGATGTTTTAAATGATGCGGGTGATTTTAAATGGCCTTTCAAATTTAAAATAAAATAAAGAGAGAAATACGAATAGAAAATATGTAAAGATATGGAGAAAATACAGGAAAATAGAACACCATACCGTTTTATCTTGAAAATTTCTTTTCATCTTGAGAAAACGGTTTTCCAAAAAAACAATGATATCAATTTATGAAAGATTTATATACAAAACAATAATGGAGTTATTGATAAAACTAAATAAAGTCCAAAGCTATGTTGAGAAATCGACTGAACAAAACTCGGTTATCTCGTTGTTAAACTCGTTAGGGTGATGCACTCGATCGTGCCGCGAAAGTTAAACAAAGTTCGCTGGAAGGGTAACACGTAGGTAATCTCGTTTGCGTCGTCAACTTTCTTAAAAAATATTTTTACAATTTCTCGCAAATATATATTTTTGACATTTCTTTTCTTCATTATTTTATTATAAAGAAAAGAAAGTTTAGGACTCGAAATTCTTAGATGAAATAAACATTATATACGCGAAAAAATAAAAGATCTATTTAAGTTTGACGTTCTCAAGATGTAAACTTTTCTTTTTTTTAATCTTAATACATTAATCACATTAATTATTGACAGTGCTAGTCCGACGAAACTGAAAGCAAGAATCATCATAGCAGGAATTTGGATGCTGGCTACAGCTTTAGCGACACCAATGGCACTTGCGCTCAGAGTGATTATGATACCAGAAAATATGACTAGTAAGAGAACTCATAATTTTTATATTTTCTTCTATCGATCGTGAATTAATTTACATATTAACGCGAACATCGATTTATGATTATCAAAAGTTTAAAAATTGAACGCCTCGAAATAATAACAAACATTAATGCTCCGATCGACCTCGATAAAATCGTAGTGCTTCACTCGATTTAGGTTGCAGATGATTTTTCTTTAATGCTCGGTGTAAACTCTTAATCGGTCTATCGGTGCGAAGATGCACCGAGATATCGCGACATGAAAGGTACCGCAATATGTCCTGAAAAAACAATTCATAAGGAATCCAAACGGTATCATTTGCTGACCACTATTACGCGCCACACGTACGTTCCTGTTTATTTGTATTCCATTCTAATTTTAAATTTATTTTTCACCATGGGTTAACGAGAGTCCATCTGGCATTGAATACATACGATTTCATCTTCCTAACAATAACATCCGGACTATCGATCTAGTATACGAGCTAATTTATAGATAATGAACAATCAGAACGTTATTTTCTATCGATTCGACTACAATAATATAAAAGGATGATCACGGAAATTGTCATGGAAAAAAAAAACAAATTGGATATCGAGTATACTCTTCGTTCATAATAACTTTCTACTAATCCAACCAATTTACGAGAGGACAATCGATCACTACTCGAGTCCTCGAACAACCTCAAAGAGACTAAGTACATATGTACATTACTATTGCGGTGTTCCCGTTCGATTTATTGACGAATCGCTTGTAGAAAATGCCGAGAGAGCGCTTTTTATATTTTCCACGAAAATACAAGGAACAAATCGATCTTGTACTATGAATTTATGACAGAAGAGAATGCAAGCTCATTAGGAGAACAGGTCGATTTTCTCTATGCATTGAGATTTGAACTTGTGCTAAATTAGAAGACCGTCAGAAATTGTTCTTTTAATCGGTCGCATCGAGTATGTCTTTTTCATTCCCCGATAAAAATGAACAAATAAAAAAGAAAGCTCAAATATTTGATTTAACTTTTAAAAATATCCTTCTCGTAATTCCCCGTTAATTGTCTCGTAAAAACAATAGTCTTATTTCCATCCACGTAACATCTATTAAAGAGAGAAGTGTGTGCCATGAATATCGCTCATAAAAACTGACTCCACCTTTTATGCGTAGAAGACGTCAACGAATCTACGTACATACCGCACCTTTCCTCTCTTTTTTCTAACTACTTTCTCCCTCTCTCTCTCTCTCTCTCTCTCTCTCTCTCTCTCTCTCTCTCTCTATCTATCTATCCATCTATCTCTATCCATATATCTGTCTATCTATTTATTTTTATTTTAATTATGAAGCACTCTTTTAATTATGTTACAGAACATCGAGAAAAATAATGAAAAAAATAATGAAAGAGATATATATATATATATATAAAGAAAGAGAGAGAGAGATATATATAAAGAAAAATTATACATGTTTACTAGATTTTTCCAGCTTACAATGGAATAAATAACATACGCAGGATATAAGTAATATGTAAGAAAAGTATAACGCAAGGAAAATTTTGAAAGGTAGTCTGTAATACCGATAGAATATCGCATTGCGTAACAAGATCATGTTGTCCTTAAAAGCTCCATTTAAAGGTATCGAGTTGATCCTAATATCATTGTAATAACTACCGTGAAAGATCATGGTTTCCCTACGTATCACATTGTCAGCTACATCAAAATCGAAAAATACTTTTTTTAAGGCAAGATTATATCCTAATAGACTGATCTCGAAGACACAATACATTTCAGCAAAATTTTCTATCGGACTATAACTATATTTCGAAAGATAGCCAAATCTTAAATCGATCAAAAGAAGGATAAAAATAATAAATAATAAATCGATATTTTATTAACGTCTTATTTCGATATTTTCAGGTGGACGTTATCATTTGAAACCGTTCTGCCATAATGAAAACATGTCGGAAAATTCGATGCTAACGTATCGAGCATTATTGGTTTTCCTACAATACATGACACCTCTTTCAATAATATCCGTCGTGTATGCTAGAATGGCTAGGACACTTTGGGGCAGTAGAGCGCCTGGAAATGCAGAAGATTCGCGTGATGCTGCTTTTATGAAAAATAAAAAAAAGGTATTCACGCTTTTATACGTACGTATCTATCTACAAATTGAATTTTATGTACAATATGAAATATCGAGTATCTTGAAGATTCTCAATGCTATATAATTAATTTGTCCATTTATTGCATTAATTTGTTAAGCATCGCGCCTGAACATAGATAACGCTCCATACTTCGTCGATAATATAGCCATTGAATGATATATAATGGGTACATTTTTCTAAATCCCTTATGATAAGAAAGAGAAATTTGCTACATTATCGATACATGGAACATTACCGACCTCCAGATTTGTGCTTAACAAAGGAAAAAGAAAAATTGTTTTTCATAAAAAAACTTTTTTTTTTATAATAAACGCAGGTTATCAAAATGTTGGTAATTGTCGTCGTATTATTCGCGATATGCTGGTTACCATTACAATCGTACAACGTACTGGAATACACTTATTCAGAAGTAAATCAGTGAGTAAATTGTTTTTCCAAATCTTTTTTAAATACCAACTGTATATAAAACTTAATTAATTTTTATAATATACACTGATACATATATTTTTCATAAAATATAGTTTATTGCAGATATCAATACATAAACATTATATGGTTCTGTTGCGATTGGCTAGCCATGTCGAATAGTTGCTGCAATCCATTCGTTTATGGTATATACAATGTAAGTCATTAATCTTAATTCACATTATGGATAATGAATTATGGAAATGACCGTTGTCATTATTTAAAAAATGATTATAGGAAAAATTTAAGCGGGAATTTCAACAGAGATGCCCATTTCGATCTCGAAAATTACCCATGAGTCCACCGACCGACAGTATGGATCTCGATAAGACGCAAAGTACACGAGCATCCATTAGGTACATTCTCAGGTGCTTTTCTCATATTATAAAATCTCGTTACTATTATTAAAAATGAAAAAAAAATAATAAATAAATATTAAATTGAAAAATTCAATTGTAAAATCATTGTTCAGGATTTTTAGAGGAAATATTATTTAGTAATCGTTGAACTATTGTCCAGATATGATTGGCGACGAGCAGGTTCCAGTGGTTATCCGTCTTTCTATAGAGGTGTACCAATGCGAGAATCATCCAAAATAACCATTAACAGCAACAACGAATCTATTACTCGACAAACAAATATATCAACACGTTGGTCTCGCAACGAACAAAAAAATCAATGCTGTCCTGATAAAAGATCACCGAGCAAAGCAATGGAACTTTACGTCTTCTCCTCTGGCAGACACAAACATACGAAAAGTATCGGTACAGAAGAATTGTGTCTTTAATATAAAATAATCATAAAGAGATCTTAGCGTCCACGATCGATTCTTTGGATCGATTCTGTTTAGCATATTATTATAAAACTGAACGGAACGAATTTACGATGAATTTCGTCAAAGAACTATATTCAAAGTTCGCATTATTTTTTTCTTTGTCATAGCTCGTTAAAAATAATATAACGAAGCATTCCTTTTGATTATTCCAAGCGGAAATTAAACTACTTTTACTATTTAAGAAAATTTTACAAATTTTATTTGAAATTTTAAATTAAGTCATTTATATAAGATAAATTTGCAAGTATTTTACATATTAAATAACTTTCTCAAATTAAAACTGAGCCAAATATTTTCTATAAATATAATAACGTGAAATGACATAAAGTATTGGAACACCGTATAAATTATATTCATAAATTACATTCATAAATAAATTTTAAATTATAATTTTTCAAAGCACATGATCTTAATGTAAAATAATGAAAAATAGGGTAATATTGATTTTAATAAATGATTTAAAATGCAAATAAATTTATATATGATATCATGGTCATCAATGAGAATCAAATTATACATATGCTCGTACTAATAATGAGCGGATAGAATGTAAACATAAAAATAAATTAAATAAGTGGTACGCTACTAAAGTATTTCTGAACTATTTCTAGTCAATAAATGTACAGAAAAATAAAAGTAATAAAATCAACCAGACTTTAAAAAATCCCTTCTACAAACTCGTGCGTAGAAAAACCATATTATTTTATATTTGTATATATCATCTATTAAAAAATATAACTATATCATTTATAAACATGTATTAAAAATACAGCAAGTCATAATTTTATATAATCATAAAATTTAAATAGAAATACCTATTTTAATCAAAATTCACATTGTTGCGACGCTCTATGTCTCTAATTTCTAACATGTCAGTCTTAAGATGCAGCTTCATAATCTCTCTCCATATATCCATTCTATGTTGCTCATTATCAATTCCAAGCCTTAATAAAATATTTTCATTTATTCTTAAAAGTACTCTTCCAGTAATATCATGCTTTGAAGAAAGATAAAAATAAATAAGATACATTACAAACGTATAGATTTAATAATACCATATTTTTCCAACAAAAAATTATATTTCATACTTACATAAAGAAATTTTTCATGATATAATTGATAATAGTCACTGCAATGTCTCCGTAACCATTTCTGGACATCTAAAACATTCCATAAATACACTGGTCTAGGTCGGGCTGTTTTAATCTAAAATAAAATAAAATATAAATATATATATATATTAGTACATTTTAATATAATTAAGTTCAAATCTTGTTGTTTAACACAACTATAAACATTAATTAGCTTAAACTTACTTTTGGCTTATTTGTAGAATTAACAGTTTCTTCTACCATTGTAATAGCAAAACTTTAATATTTGCTCAATGATCTAATTTATCCATTCCATAAACAAATAGAAAAAATTTTAAAATATACTTATCACAGTTTTATTTTGTTAATCTTTTAAAAAATAATCATCAATTAATTAAAAAAATGTCATAGTGAAATTGATCTTAACTAATAAGCATAGATTAAACTTATTCAAACTTCAAAGAAGATTGGCATCTTTTCATTTGCTGATATAAACAGATCATCGCAATACAGATCTAGGGTGAAAACTAGTGATACCATTATTAAAACGGACGAAAATACAAATTAATTTTATAAATGGGATACTTGTAATTTTTCATATTTATAATATTAAAATCATAGAATGAATATAATTATTGTAAATTAAAATATTATAATAAATGTAATAGTGATTTTTTGGTCGTCAAGTTGCTCTTTGAATCATTTCTATTTATAATTATTTTTTATGTTTAATTACGTCTTTTCATTTTTATGTCAAAGAAACGGCTCCAAAATTAATTATAAGATTATATTATTTCATTTAAAAAGACGTAGAGAACATGAATATCGTTTTAAATAATTTGTAGAAAATTAGTTAACCGGAAGTGAACTTTATTTTGACTCATTCACATACTCTGCATCAGTGTCGTATGCTATTTCCGATCTTTCCTTCTGTGACTGTTGAGGCAAAATGGTTAGTTGTTTTATTTATCATCTAAAATTTTACAGAATTGTTATTCTTTTAAGAAATTTTTAAAGATTAAAGTTTTTTAAACATTCGTAAATGCTAAATAAAATCTGAAAATATTTTTATTTTATCTAACGTGTCATTTTGCAAAAAAAAAAAAAAAAAGGAAAAAAACAAATAGCAAACCATGTGGTTTTTACAGTAAATCTGTCAATTTAATAATATACGTTCCATATATTAGTCTTTTAAATAAAAATAAATATTTTAATGATAAATATAAGATCATTGAGCCTATATTAATGTAAATACCTAATCCTTATTAGAAGAAAAACATTAAAATACACTGAACAATAATGTAGGAAATATTTTATCTTTGCAGACTTGCAAACGCAGAAACGGTGGACGTGCTAAGCATGGCCGTGGCCATGTAAATCCTGTACGCTGTACTAATTGTGCAAGATGCGTACCAAAAGATAAGGCAATCAAAAAATTTGTCATTCGCAATATCGTAGAAGCAGCTGCTGTAAGGGATATAACAGAAGCCAGTCAATATCCATCTTATCAACTTCCCAAACTTTATGCTAAGTTACACTATTGTGTCTCCTGTGCTATTCACTCTAAAGTGGTCCGTAATAGATCTAAGGAAGCTAGACGTATTAGGACACCTCCTGTGCGGAATTTCCCAAGGGTAATTATAAGATAATTACAAATTTTATTTAAATAAAAAATAGAATATTTAAAATTCGTTAATTATTAATACATTACTTGTATAATTATTCAAAGACAAATAAAAATTAAAATCGTGTATTGATTATTAATTGTCGATTGTTAAAAACTATCTTTAATTTTTAGGATTTACGCCAAGGACAGCAAAACAGAAAATAATTTTTCTATGTAAGAATTTAAAATAAAAATAAATGTAACAAAATCAATCAAATAAAAATCCACACATTTTATTTGCCCTATACTTCATAAATTACAGAATAAATATACACTTTATTGCTCTTCAAGGATATTTTCATGTAGACACACAATAGAAGAGTAAAGTATGAATAAGCAAAGAGATACAATTATTTTTGAAAATCATAGTGACCGTGATGTGAAGAAGCAAATTGAACACATAGTTTCAGCACTAATTTTTTATACTAATAGATATTTTTGAAGTTGACTTGACAACAAATTCAGAAATAAAACAACATAATTTTACTTTCATTACTTACATAATAAAACACAAGTTATGTATAATTTCATATAGAAGATCTAATAAATTTTGTGATTCAGATTAAATTAATGTACAATTAACAACAAAGTTGAGAAGTAGATTAAATAAGGAATCATTTATTAGCTTCTTCCATCGCTTTCTTCAGTGTTTTCTCAAAAATCTTTTTTGAGTCACAAAAACCTTGTTTTGTTTTCCCAAATGAATTTGGTCCTGCAGAGGTAGGCGTTTCTCTTCCAATATTTCGCATTCTCATTCTGGCTTCTGCTGGCATTTCTTCTGGTTCATCCTCTTCGTCTGCGTTAAATACAGATGCCACTGTAGGTCTCTGTACTACAGTAGTTTTTGTGGCAGAGTTCTAAAAGGGCAATCAATTATATATAACATCATATATACCGTATATAAATAATATACTTACAGATACGGAACCCAATTTGATCTGAATTCCCTTTTTTTGATCAGCACCAGTTTGCCTTTTTCCAAACCCAAATGCAAGTTTCTGTTTCTTGACGTCACCATGGCCAAAGTTGCCAGATTCACAGTGGTCATCTGATCTTAGCGGTGAACGATCCCTTCCTCTGCTGTCCCCTCTGGTGTCCTCTGCTCTGTAGACACTTGACCCTGACAACGTCAAACACTGGCAAAGTTCAGATCAAGTTAAACAACTTTGATTATTTAGCCAGAAATCTTTATGCAACATGCTTAGTACAACTTTCTTGTCCTATAAATAATGTAATATAAATTATTCTTATACGTTAAAAACAAGTTAATCTATAAAAATTTATCTAATTGAAAATTATATTTTTATCATACAATTTATAAAATATGTTAAGAATTGTTTTATCATCGATCATAAATCTTATTTATTGACAATATTACGTCGTTACTTTGTCAATATACAGATTCGAGACAGTTTAATTTGTACGATAAATGTACGTAAATGTCGACATCAAGCACCGATTAAATCGGATCTTTTAATTTTCTATATATTACTTAAGCAAAATTTCTTTCATAAAGATAATAAATAGATGAAAAATAAGAAAACTCATTTCGGCACATAAAACTTTCGATGGTCAATCATCTAATATTATATTCCAATAACGCAGTTCTAAATGTAAAATTTAAGTACTCTTACCAATAACATGGAATACAACTAGTTATATTCAACTTAAATAGTAAAATTATAAATAAAATGAATAAAACCTTTTCTATATTCGTCCCCAGGATTCCTCTTAGACATTTTTTAGCTTTCCTTGTTTCCGGAACGAGAACGATTGATCCAAAGTAACCTAAAAATCATTACTTCAGTTACTTTGGTATAGATATAACAGAAACAGTACTAGCAACATTAGAATAATTTCATACTAGATTTCAAAATTCTTTGAATTTTATATTCAATAATTTAATTCAATAATGATTATATCTCTGAGATATTCAGGATAATTGTAACAATAATTATTTTTCTTTTATTAATTATAATATCCATAATAAAAATTATAATTACTTTTATGAAATATGATAAAATCTTGTAACTAGTTACTGATTGGTTGTTTAAAACTGATTTTTAAGTTAAGATAATGATGCCAATTCATCTATTCAAATATTAAATGTTACTGTCTTCTTTCCAAATTTAGCAGAAACAACATATAATACTTGCCAAACAATTTCAAAATCACAAATTAGAAATTTATGTCAAATAATGCGCCATCTTGTGTCATATTTTGAAAGTAATAAGTACCTCTTTTTTTAATTACTTAACTACTATCAAAAACATCAATACGAATATTAAAAAGGATTGGAAAATTTCTCCATAAAAATGAAAGTCGTCAAGGTCGGAAAAGGATATACAAGGAAATTAATAATTTGAAAAAAATTTTGGATTTTATTATTTATACCATTATAAAACTTCTCGTGTAATTTCGTAAATATTTCTCAAGAGAAGTATATTTAAATCATAACAGAAATAGTAAGTTAATTTATACTGAAATTATATTTTCCTATCGTCTATTATGACTATCGCATTTATTGTATGGACTTGGAATTGTTAATAACATTTATCATAAGCAGACGATATACATTGGTGACACTTTTTATATCAATGTATTTCACCTGTGCACTGAACTTGCTTAGTAAAGAATGTTCATTTAATTGTCTATACTGATACTTAAATATGTTTAACAATCATTTACGATGAGAATGATGCAAGGAAGTCAGTGACAACCTTCTTTAACTTAGCGTCAGATGCTTCACTGATGGTGTTTTCCTTTGCAATAGTACCTAGGAGATCTTGTTGTGTAGACCTATTGTATAAAACAAGATTAAATCAAATTATTGAATCTATATAATTGTACTTGACAGAAATTGATTATTAGAATATTTTAAAAAACATTATTTACCTAATATGAGCAAGGAATTCTTTTTCGAAGGCAGTAATTTTCGATGGTTCCATTTTGTCAAGGTAACCGCGGACACCACAGTAGATAACTGCAACCTGTTCTTCAATTGCCATAGGCACTAAAATATATTATAAAAATAATATTATTACAAATGACAAAACTTGATAAAAAAAAAAAAATCGTATATCTTATGATATAGTTTTACCATATTGTCCTTGCTTTAGAAGCTCAGTCAATCTCACGCCACGATTCAACAATTGTTGAGTTGCAGCATCCAAATCAGATCCGAACTGTGCAAAAGCAGCTACTTCACGGTATTGAGCCAATTCTAATTTCATAGAACCGGCAACCTATAACAACAATGAGTATTTAATGTTATAACGGTATAATTATTAATCATTTTGCTCTATTTAAAATATTATACAGCACCTGCTTCATGGCCTTGGTTTGAGCAGCAGATCCGACCCGGGATACAGACAGACCAACATTAATAGCTGGTCGGATACCTTTGTAGAACAATTCAGTTTCCAAGAAGATTTGACCATCAGTAATAGAAATGACATTGGTTGGAATATAGGCAGATACATCACCAGCTTGAGTTTCAATGACAGGTAATGCAGTTAAAGAACCACCACCTAAACTTTCATTCATTTTAGCAGCTCGCTCTAAAAGACGCGAATGAAGGTAAAATACATCACCAGGGTAAGCTTCGCGACCTGGTGGTCTCCTTAGTAGCAAAGACATTTGTCGGTAGGCAACGGCCTGTTTCGATAAATCGTCATAAATAATTAAAGCGTGTTTTCCATTATCTCTGTAAAAAGAAAGATTAAGATATTATTTAATCATGAAATTATAATAGACATATTACGGCTTATTAACTTTATCTTACCTAAAGAATTCTCCCATGGCACAACCGGAATACGGTGCCAAATACTGTAAGGGAGCAGCATCAGATGCGGTGGCGGAAACGATAATAGTATAATTAATAGCTCCACTGTCAGTCAATCGTTTGACAATTTGAGCAACAGTAGATCTCTTTTGACCAATAGCAACATAGATGCAATATAATTTCTTTTTTTCTTCACCACCATCATTGAAACGTTTTTGATTGATAATAGTATCAATGGCAAGGGCAGTTTTTCCAGTTTGTCTGTCACCAATAATCAATTCACGCTGTCCTCTACCGATAGGTACCAAAGAATCTACAGCCTTGATTCCAGTTTGCATAGGTTCCCTTACGGATACTCTATAAAAATATATACATGTCATAAACATATAGTCATTGGACTTATATATAATTGTTAATTTAAATATATTACCTAGGAATGATACCTGGGGCTTTGGTACCAATGCGGAATCTCAGTTTGCTGTTTAATGGTCCTTTACCATCAATGGGATTACCCAAAGCATCAACAACACGTCCTAATAATTCTTCCCCAACAGGAACATCCACAATAGCTCCAGTACGTTTTACAACATCTCCTTCCTTGATATGCCTATCATTACCAAAGACGACAACACCAACATTATCAGGTTCCAAATTCAAAGCCATACCCTTTAGACCTGAACTGAATTCCACCATCTCATCTGCCTGAATATTCTTTAAACCATAAACACGAGCGATACCATCACCAATGCTAAGTACCTTGCCTGTTTCTTCAAGATTAGCCTAAAATTTTATTATTATTAGAATCTAATAATTAAATATAAATATTAGATATAAATAAGAATTTCATAACAAATTCTCATAAATATTATCGTATAATTAAAAGAATGAATAATTAGTCAACTATAAGATAGACATACCTTTGGAGCAGAGCCAAGGATACGTTCTTCCAGAATGGAAGAGATTTCTGCAGAACGACGACTACAGGATACATGGTATTTACGAGATGTAACTGTGACAGCAGGCCAATTGACCTAAAAAAAGAAATAGAAATATACTTGAAGTATTCATATATCTCTATCTGTTCATAAGTCTTCATATATCTACTCCCTAAATGTTTATTACATAACTTAACAGTCCTCCTCTCTTTACATAATACATAATACCCTACAAACGATGTTTATAAAAATACTGTTATTTTTTAATGCTTTTACATGAAGAATACCTTTTTTATAGAATATAATATTCTGTAAAAGACATTATTAAGTATCCTAAAATTGTGGAAACGTGTAATGAACAAATATAAAATGTCGGCGCTATCGAGAATTTCTCCCGCGGCTTTGAAATAATTTGACACAAGTGATTCTTGCTTTTTTTAAGAAATTACCTGAATCGTAGCATTTGGCAATTGCCTCGCCAAAGAGGAGGCCAGACGTAGAGATAGAAGAGCCATCTTGATACGTTGAAAGCCCGTCAACCGGACCACGAATTCAATGAGGAAGAATGATAAAGACGGCGACGAGCAAAAGTACGTCCTGTCTAACCCCACTCTATCGTTCGAGCACAGGAAATCTACATTCATCGACCTGCGCTGTAACCTCGAATCCAGAAAATTTTTTAATTTTCAATGAACAACGAATTATAAAATAACTTTTAAAGTTTAATATCGTTGTTTTACTTAGTAATTACAATTTTTTAAATAAATATTTTTTTCTTATATATAGGCCAAAAATATAAATAATCTATAAATTGGTCTGGCTTGGAGGTTAACAGTAATATCCGTTCCAGTTGTATAATCAAAACGCGCTAAATTCAAATAATATAGAGATTACACAGAAACTGTCGGTTAATAAATATCTACGCAAGATCCATATTTCTTATAGAGAGTTATACAATTTTAAATTAAACTTATTAAATGATACTGTCCACAATCTACAATATGTATGTATAGACTATGCATATTTGTTTTTTTAATAATAATCGTACTTGATTGTCATTTCTTTAATTTCTTTGATATAGTAATTATATCCTATATCATATATGTACATACATATATATATATGTATACATTCTTAAAATTTTTTATTAATCTAAAATTAATTTTTATTAATGATATGTAAAACGAATATATAATTGTAACTTTGTGACCGAACAATATTGCACAAATTGTAAAATAACTCGCCCTTCAAATCTAAAATGGCGATTGGCTAAATGAACTGGAAGTTTTAAGATGATCTTGAACAATGTTGTAGTAACTTTATTGGTTTCGTGAAAAAAAGTATTAATAATAATGAATATGTCATATATTAGAAAAATTAATAAATTCTTTTGGATAGAAAGTGTAAATGTATTTTTGTCATTAAAAGTCAACGTGTTTAGATAAAGTTTGACTAGTTATGAAAGCGTTATTACACCGGCGTCAAGATTTGTTATTGTGAACTAGTATTGATTATCATTGATGACCGCTTTTTAATCTTATCAAAATTTATAAAAAAACGTAACAATTATTAAAGATTAAATGATATTTCGGAAAAAGCTATATCATATATATATATATATATATATATATATATATATATATATATATAGAAATATAAAAACCTTGTAGTTAATAATTTATGTAAGAAACTTGTCAATTTTTTATTTTCATAACAAATAATAATATATCTCACAAATTGTAACTAATATATGAATACAAAAATTTAATGAAGAAAAAAAAATGAAAAAGGTTGTTATAGATGGAATGCTAATAGTTGCTGATATAAGACAAGTAAGTGAAGAAATAAGCCCATATGGATTGATCTGTGATTATTCTAAACTAATCTTCAAGAATCTCCTAAATATGGACTCTGTTAATGAACCGGAACACATTAATAAGCTGGTTAAAGAGGCAGAGAGTTTAAAAATACGTTTAGAGGATGAACGACAAAAGCTAAATGATGTTACTCGTAACTATCTAAAATATATAATTAAAGATAAATTATTTTCATGTTTATTTCTACATTCTATAAAATTATATTATATAAAAATGAGGTATGTTGAGAGAATGATTATGATTTAAAAAACCATATTAAAGAACAATATACTATGTTATATTTTCTTATTTCTATATATTATAAGAATTAACATCATGTATAAATTTAAATATTATATCTTTTAGTTGCTAGTGTAGCTGATCGATTGGAAGGAATAAACTGCATAAATGTAAAACCTCGACGTGTTTTGAAAGGCCATCAGGCAAAAGTTCTTTGTTCTGATTGGTCTCCTGATAAGCGTCACATTGTCTCTTCTTCTCAGGTACATATTTTAATTTTTATTTTGCACATTTTTACATTTTCCATATATCTATAAATCATCTTTTAGGATGGCAAAATGATAATATGGGATGCTTTCACAACAAATAAGGAGCATGCAGTTACAATGCCTACAATATGGGTAATGGCATGTGCTTATGCTCCTAGTGGTGCTTTAGTAGCATGTGGGTACGTCTACAAATATAATACGTCTATATAATTTAAATTAACCTTTTAGAGAGAGAAAGAGAGAGATAGAGAAAATGTAAATTATTTCAATTGATTTTTACAGGGGATTAGATAACAAAGTAACAGTTTATCCATTGAGTTTAGAAGACGATGTTACAACTCGTAAAAAAACCGTTGGGACTCACACATCGTATATGTCATGTTGTGCATTTCCCAATAGCGATCAACAAATTTTAACGGGAAGCGGTGATAGTACATGCGCTTTATGGGATGTTGAAAGTGGTCAATTACTTCAAAGTTTTCACGGACATTCTAGCGACGTTATGTCAATTGATTTAGCACCGAGCGAAACTGGCAATACATTCGTATCTGGTAGTTGTGACAAAATGGTTTTAATTTGGGATATGCGTAGCGGACAATGTGTTCAAAGCTTCGAAGGACATCAGTCCGATGTTAATTCGGTATGAATATAACTTCGGTATAAATTTAATTAACTCATAATAATATTCCAATTGATAGATAAATATATTACGATTAATCGAATTGTTTTATTTTTTTATAGGTAAGATTTCATCCAAGCGGCGATGCAGTAGCAACAGGTTCCGATGATGCTACATGCCGACTCTTTGATTTACGTGCTGATAAAGAAGTAGCTATTTATGCAAAAGAGAGTATCATATTCGGAGCGAATACAATCGACCTCAGTGTAAGTGGACGTTTATTGTTTGCTGGTTATAATGATTATACAGTAAACATATGGGATACTCTAAAGTGCCAAAGAGTAGCACTTTTATATGGACACGAAAATCGTGTGTCTTGTTTGAGAGTTTCACCGGATGGTACTGCCGTTTCAACTGGAAGTTGGGATTCGACATTACGTGTTTGGGCTTAAATTTTATTTAATCTCTTTCCTAATGCTTACTGACACTTGAAAACATGTACTCTTACACACGCCTTATGTTTAATTACGGCGTAATTGAAGGTACTGTTATTAATCACATATGTATTAGCATGCAATTGAAAATAATAGATGCCATTAATCGTTAGATAGTTATAAATATACCATAGTTGATCATTAAAATTTATTATGTTAGGCTGGCCCTAATTTATAAGAGATCAAAGAGATAGAGAATATTTATTTCATTGATTGTATAAAGTGTGTTACACATTATGTGAAATCAAATAAAGATTAGATTAATGAAATCTATTTTACCTTGGTATTGTTCGATCGAAGAAGAATTCTCGAAATACCTAAGAATAAAGAAAAGGTGAAATAGTAAAAATCGTATGTACCGCGCACCATATAATTTTGTCTCTTATTGACAAATACAATATCTCGTTTGATTCATATTCGGGCGTACACTGTTGTATAATTATTCATTATTTACTACATCGCCGTTGAATTTCAGTCGTAGTGTGAAACGGCGTATCATTCTCACACAGATCAATTCCACAACCGGCTTATTTAAAAAACAAAAAAAAACAAAAAAAAAAAAAAAAACAAAAAACAAAAAAAAAATTGCTCGAACGAGATTAAATAACGAGCCGGCTAGGTAAAATTTCAACTTAATTTATTAATTCGACAGATATAAATATCATTATTACTAAATCGCCTGTCATCAATAATTTTATATAATTCTTAACTTGCGGTAAAACGAAGTCATGGAACGTAATAGAGTTCCGTGTACATTCTTGTCGTTTCGGACAGTATAAAAAAGAACACTCGCGGAATACAAACATGGTGGAGGGAGATCGATGAAAGCAAAAGTAAAAAAATCCTATTATAAAAGGTAATTCATGGAACCAGTATTATTATGCAAACAGCGATTAATCGACACGATTTGTCTAGAATTGCACCGTCCTTAAAGTTAACGGAATAGTTATTCCGTTTTGCTGAGCCGAAGATGCAATTTCGACACATTTATATACAACGTGTCTCGGAGATTAAATGATCTCCCATTAAAATTCATTTACGAAGAAAATGCAAAAAAAAAAAAAAAGAAAAAATCCTTTGTAGTCTGTGTAGACATTTATAAAATTTTTCTAACAGACTTATCAGGGTAGATTAATTACAAAGAATTAGAACACTATAATGTGTTTGCTACCAAAAATATAGGAAACAAATTAAAGCCAAAAAGCTGTCAGAGTATTTACAATTAATAATCGAGCACGACGGATGTTTATATAGGTAAATAACAAAATTGATGTTCAGTCGGTGCAATTCAAAATTGCTCGTGATATAATGCGCCGTATAAATAAACCTCATTAATGTAATGGATGCAAAAAATACTACGCGTATTCGTCACACACGCACGAAGGCTATACATACAAATGGCGCGTGCATACTAATTGTAATCGTATTGGATGGTGCACATGTGTCGCGTATGCTTCTAACACACGCACGCTTTCGAGTGGGCTCTTCTTACGTTGAAAAATACAATGATAATGTTGATGATAAAAGTCAATGAGGATGACACATTAATGATAATGAAATTATTATTACAATTGAAATTCGTTTATCAAATCACGCTATTAATCAAATATCTTGAAATGAATCAATATCTAAGTAATCAATACACTTTCAAAGAGCCACATTTAATCATATAATACTATTTTTAATAAAGAAAAAAGAAATAAACGCAGTACTACCAAAATAAATTCTAATTTTTAACGATATTCTTTTCTCGAGCATATCGGACATGCAACATGATAAATCATATTCTCACACGAAAGTAAAAGTTAGATTAGCGTTCGACCGAATATCATTATAATATTTTGGAAGCACATTAGTGTAATTTATAAAAATGGAAAAGTGATAAGTTTTTACAGCATAACAAATTGAAGTTATTTGTTGTAGCTGCCAAAGGAAGAAAGGACATAAAAAGAAAATTTATATCATCTTTTTGTACTATTTTGTACTAAGATTTACTAAAGATCGTATTCATATCAACCATCACAGAGGAAGTAGAGATGTAATTAATTACATTAGTAATTAGAATGAATTTATATAAGTTATCTATACCATAAAATACTAAATAATTATTATTTTGAACACAATTCTAACCTTTTCCCTTCGTGTATTTATGTACCTACCAGATGATATTTATGAGACAAATAGTATCCATCTCCTCAAAGTATGCCAAATACACTCAAGCTAGTTTCTTTTATATATATATATAAATATATATAAAACCAATGTAAACATATAAAAACAAAAAACAAAACAAAAAAAAGGAATATTTTGTTTTTTGTAATTTAAATTATAATATTTTATAGAAACAATAGCTTGATGCAATTGTTAATACTATGAACGATGATAAATACTATCTTTATTTCTATTAACCAATGATTTATAGATGTTATAAAACAATGGATAATATTAATAATGAGCATCACCATACTTGCGCTAGACTTTTTAAATGAATGTATAAATTGCATGTAATTATGAAACAAATTGAAAAAAAAAAGAAAAAAAAAAAGACAAAAAAAATAGAATGAAAATATCTACTACTTGCATCGCTTCCTGAGATGTCACATTAACTTTCAGTCATTGTATTGCAATTATATAAAAAGAAAAACTATGCGCACTCACACAAATATACAATGATGACGTTGAAAGCAATACTCAGAAAAGCAACAAAAAGTTTTATAATTTTCTTTTGGTTATCCATATCTTTCAAATATTGCTTTTAGTATAATCATTTTCTTAGAAAAAAAGAATGGAAGAGAAGCAGGCTTTTATGTTATGTACAACAAATCATACAATATTAGAAGCACTTGTGGAATGCCAGATACAAAGTAATATGAGTATTCGATATTTGATGCAATTATAAATTATATATATATTTTTTCCTTTTTTTCTTTTTTATTATTATGGAAGAACACGCTATAGATAAAAAAAGAACCTACTACATTTTTATCATGCTTAGGTTTTGGATACATTACTGTAAATCAGTTCCTCGTGTTAACATGAATTTAAGCACCCTAAATACTGATACAATAAACTATAATGTACATTATATTATTATAAAATACGTACACATACATATATATGTACATGTACTAGTAATAGTCTTAAAAAATGTTTTATGCAAAATTAAGTTTTAGAAAGTTTTATCAGACTGTATTCTATAAATATTTAAGAAGAATGGTAACATACAATGTAAGTTGGATATAACCAAATTTAAAGATAAGTTTATAAATTATGCACCTATTCATGCAAAGTTTACTCTACAAAATGCAAATAAAAAAAAATTGTAAAATTTGTTTACAGTTTAAAATATAAACAGTATTATAAGAATATGAGGAACGAAATATGTGTATATATATATATATATATATATATATATATATATATATATATATATTTAAATATTTAAAATAATTATATAATAAATTCTGCCACAGAGTGCTTAATATTGTATGCTTATCAGATTATTGCTCTTTGCACTTTGCAAAACGTTAAAAATGTTGTTTTCTATTCTACGAGTTGTGTAAAAGTCGTTTGAAAACCAGTTATGCCAACAACTAATCGATGTACAATCTCCGATATCTTGCTGGTACTAAAAATTTTAAAGTCTTTTAAAGGAAAAGACAAGAAATCACAACACGATTTATGATCGATCTACATTCCTTACAAATTACTGATGTATAGACCATATTAGGACTTGGTAAAATAGTAAGGCGTAGAACGCTGCATACGGTAAACTGTATTGTCGTTAAAAAATATTATATCTTCCTGGATATATTTGGCAAGCGTGCACACTTCAATCTGGAAGATCCGATCTTCAAGGGGCGATGAAATAAAAGATGACAGTACAAAATATTGACAGCTACGAGGGGATGGCTCGCAATCTCCTCCAACGTGCCTCCCATTGAGAATTATTTCTTCCAGAACCCCAACCAAATCCAAATACAGAATCAACTGTAGGCTTACTCAAATAAGCGACATTGTTACCGCTATGATCAAAATGTGGTTCAAGACTGGTTAAATCAACTGCATGTAAAATTCGAACGGCAGACGCGAGTCGAAGCTTGCTGGCTGGCGAACTAAACACCAACTTACGACTTTGCTTATTGTTGCCCTTGTCACCAGTGTTGCTAGAATTGCTATGGCGAGGATCATTCTGTAACTGTTTTACTTTGCGAGAATACTCGGTGCAAAATGATTTTGCCATAGATCATTGCCGGTAAGTCTGAGGTGATATGCCGTTTCCAGGTGTCACGTAATCACCAATCATTAAACTTGGATTTACCGGATAATGCGACGTATTTCCAAGGACCAGCGATTGCTGGAAAGTAACACCAAGCTGTAGCGCGAAAGACACGCAGGCAGGTACACGCTTTAGTATCTTTTTATAAATTAGGATAAAGTACCTAGCGAGCCATTTACTTGTTTCAATTGAATGTTTTGCATTATATTTGAGTGTTTCTGTTTCAAAAAATGTATTATTATATAATAGTAAAAGCATCATAGAGAAAATAGCTCGCTGGAGAAAACAATCAGTAATATGTTACACTCACAGTAGCTGGAGATGTAAACATATTAGGCGTGATTCCACCACCTATCAATTGTGCTGCCTGCGTACTAGTAGCCGTACCTCCTACTCGACCACGTCCGGTACTTGATATCGAACCAGGATGAATATTAGGTTGGCCACCTAAGCACAAGTTTAGATTTTATTATTATTATTATTATTATTATTATTATTATTATTATTATTATTATTATTAATTATACAAAATATTTATTATTAAATATCATATTTGCTTTTTAACTAAGTAACCCATTTTTTACTTACACATATCTCGAATCAATCTAAAACTTTATTAGATCAATATCTATGAAATATTATTAGTAGAATACAGAAGAATGTCTTATATCGCTATAGGTTGTAAATATTGATTTTCGATCGAAATTAGATCTTACCAATTGCAAGTAAATTACTGGGATTAACTGCTGCACTTGTATCCATTGAGACCTCACCAAGACCATTGACCGACATGCCATTAACCATATTCACAGCCTGTCGAGCACCTTGCGCATCCAGAGTTGTCCAATAAGATTCACTAGGTGAAGTATTATTTAAGCCAGGTGGTGGTTGTGCTGCTGCTCCTGTATACCTAAAGTAAGGGTTCTTCAAGTCTAAAGTATTACTACTGCTTTCCATATTTGTCCCTTCAAGTTTCAGTTCTATTGTAACATCATAAGATTGCCTGCAATCAAGTATATCATTATTGCAATCAATTTTTAATCAAATTACTGAGAGAACAAGTACATTATTAAATGATACGTATAACATTTATTCGAAATTACCTTTTATTGGCAATAAGAATTACTTTTCCAGAAAGTAATTGTCCACTTTTACAAAACAATGGATTTTCAAGAAGACAACGCACTTGATACCAATGTGTAAGAGGCTCTGTAGGAGCAGTACTTAACCAAACTTGTTGAGTAGAACCAATAAATGCCACGTCAAACCAGAATGCAAGACCATGGCATGTACCACTTTCTAATATGTGAAAGTCAACATCTATATCTGAAAGATTCATAATTTACCACAAATCAGTTTGATACATTACATCTTATAAATCCATTTTTCTCGAGGGGAAAAAAAAAAAAAAAAAAAAAAAAGACGTAACAATATATAAAACAAACATTGTATAATCATACCTATTTTATGTAAATCAGTCTCATCAGCTGTCTGGAAATCTACGATATGCCTGACAGATTTAGCCATACAAATTCTTATATCAAAGGTATCAACAATAGGTTGGCGGAAATATTCTTTAATGGCATTATTTCGCATTGCAGAAAGATCTACACCATGGAAACATGTTTGGTACCAAAAATTGGCTTTATTAAATTGTTCCATATAAAGATTCTCATCAGAAAATGGCGCGATATGCAAGTCTCCTCTAGAAGGAAACATTCTTCCACCTATAAATAAGATGTGGCATGTCTCATATGAATTAAAATTATAAATGGATATATATAATAAGACTAAATAATGTAACTGTGATCACCTGGTACTAGCCATTTTTTAGCATGAAGATAAGTTTCAAGCATTCTTTCATTATATAACATGTAACCCATAGGTTCACTGACTATGCAATCAACATGTTCTGGTAGATCTATTTCTTCAATTTTTCCAGCTATGACTATAATCTTATCTGATAAATTATTAGCAGCTACTAGTAATTCTGCATGATTTGCCATGTTACTTGCTTCTACAGCGTATACTTTTTTTGCACCAGCCTGAATTGCAAAAAATGATAAAATGCCAGAACCAGCTCCTACATCTAACACAACTTTATCTTTAAAGTCTGATAAATTGCCAAGAATTGCACGTTGATAAGTGCTCGTTCTGATATAATCCTGCATCATATTTTGTTGCTGTGATAAATAACCATAAAATTGAAAATATTGCATGGCCGATGACTCCTCTGTTCTTTCATTAAATGCTGATATACCCTTTCCATTTTTCAGTTTTAATATTTGTGAATGAAAGTTTCGAAAGTCTATATAATTAAAAAATTATATTTTGCATTAGTATTTGTTAACTACGAAAGTGTACTGTTAACATATATATTAATGTAATACCAGGAAAAAAACTAATAACAACAGAACAGTATTTTTGTATCTATTCACCTGTTTCATTAGCAAATGTTATTAATAAGCTATCTGAATCCAATGTAAAAACATAACTTCGCGATGAAACTCTAGAGCATTCAGTAGTATGAGTTACAGGAAATTCCAATAATGAAACCTTTTCTCTTGCAGTGGAATCACCTGTAACATATTAAAACATAAAAAATGGTATTAAGAAATCAAAGAATAAATCAAAAGATGTACAATGAATTTTTATGAATAAATATATATCCTTGATGTATATTAAGTTGAAAATTAGCGTTTTTAGTTAAAGAAAAAAAAAAAGAAAAAAAAAAAAAAAAAAAAAAAGAAAAAAAGAAAAAAAAAGAAAAAAGAAAAGAGGAAAAAAAGAAAGACTGCATATTTGGAAAGAAAAAAAGCGTGTCAAAACATAATACAAAAAGTAAATTTCAAGAAGAGAAAGAATCGATAGTTCAGAAACGTTTTCTAATGAGGACGAACAAGAGAAATAAAAGTATGAAAATATCAATACAAACGGGAAGAAGAATAAGGGAATAATGTATTCCGGTCGAGCGAGTGTGGTTATGTCGCCGCGAATAAACGCGTCAGCGTTGAGATCGTCGATCGAACGTTTTGGCGTTATTTTCAAAAGCGATAAATACCTAAGACGAGTTCGACGCTGAGGCCTTGCGGGTCATAATTAACGTTGAGCATGACCGGTTTATTATACTTTGGTATTGACTGTCCATTGTTTGACAAAGTCAATACTGTCACCGCGCGAAAGGTTTTCGCCATTTTTCGACAACCGCGTGTCGTTTTTGTGCGCCCCTACGAAAGACTCGGCCACCCGTTCGCTTCGCGGTGGCAGCTCGCGAGCCGCACGTTTTCCTTTTAAAGATAAAATAAATAATGAATCACCGTTCACGTACAGCCCAAGACCGAGCAAAAAACATGAAAAATTTCACCCGAATTCGCAATTTTCGAGTTCGCACATCGGACCATCGACCAACCACCCCTCGGCGCGGTTCGCACACGCGCACTAACCGCCTTCGATGCCCGAAGCCGAAAGGGAGATTTTACCGCCGATCTACCATTACTTCTATTTTTTTTTCTTTTCTTTTTTCTTTTTTTTTTTATGATCGTTTGTTTTTCTTTGCGCGTTTATTAATATTTAAAGATCGACAAAGATTATGGTATTCTCTTGAAATTTGTATTCTTTTTATTGTAAATTTATGCAAGTCATTTGACCGATGTAAATGAATTTGACAAATTATGTTAAAACATCGGTTTGTCGAAAGGAGGAAAAATGGCGGCTAGGTTGTTGCGTGAGACGCAGTTCGTCGTGCCGGGTCTATAATAGTATGTATAGTCTCCGAGTATATTGAAAGTTAGGGTAGTGTACAATGCTTGTCGTACCAAAGAAAAGAATCCGTATCCTAGATCAAATCCACCAGTTGGCGCAATCAGTTGTCTTATAATCTGGTCAATGATTAGCACTGGTTAGCACCAATCATCGATAGTGTAGTGTAGAATGCGTTCGCTAATTGGTGCATACATTTTGATTCTTCAGGAAATGGAAAAAGCTGTATTTTCATATAAATATAACTTCATGTATCATAGATTTCTTGTGATAAAAAAAACAAAAATGATAATAACAAGAAATTTGAATATAAAGTATCATCGTGATTAATTAATACCTAAGACGATAAATAATAGAACATATAATTACAATGCAATCAAATCTCGAAAGTGGATTGCAATTAATTACAAGGTTAAGAAAAAATCTATGTGTTTCAGAGTTTGACGACACTCTTTTTTTTAACGGATTAAAAAATACGGACATTATAGAAATAACTGGAGATGTATCCAGTGGAAAATCACTTTTGTTAGCGAACATTCTTGCTAAGTGCATACTTCCTGATAGGTACGACGATATTCATGTTAAAGGTCTTGCAGCTTCAGCGATATTAATAAATACTGATTGTCATTTTCAAATATCAAAATTAGTTAAAATAATGACGACGATTGTGACTGATGTATATAAATCCATTGATATAAAGAAAGTAAATAATGAAACGATAAATAAAATTGTTAATGACGTGCTCGATAATTTAATTATAATTAATTGTTATGGAAATGATCAATTTCTATTAACATTACATACGTTAGAAAGTATATTATTTTGCAATGAAAAGATTGTAATTTTGGCAATCGATAGTATATCAGCATATTATTGGCAAACCAGAGAAAATAATGATATTAAGTCTCTAGATACCTACGTGATAAATTTAATAAAACTTATTCGAGCAACCACATCTCAATACAATGTTATAATGATTTATACAAGACCAAGTGCATTGACTATAAATGATATTAAGTCCATAAAATTTATTACTACAAATATTTTAAAAGAATTAAATTATATTATTCGCTTATTTAAAAATAATGATTCAGAAAAACATTTGTGCTTAATAGAGTCAAAAAAAGAAACAAGAACTATTAGCTTTATGATTAATACTGGTATTATTAAGTGGATAACAGAAAGAGATTAATTAAATATTTACACTTATAAATTTAATCTTTTATTCCCATTAAAAGGACTTCATTTACTATGTCTGATGGATTTAATAATCGAGATCCTGCTAGTGTTATGGAACAATTTGTTTTATATAGGGACACTATCTCTTGAACTTTCCTACTTTCTTCCGGTGTAATGCCACCAACAACATATATTAATATCCATGGGTTATCTGCAGGATGACGTTCTGCTTTGCTTTTCGAAAAAAGGCTATAACATAATAGTTTAGATATTATTTGGTCATAGATGAAGTATATTATATATACTTACTTGAAACTAATACTGGAATGCATTGATGTTGCGTGTAGATCATGAATTTTAGGTCTCTTTGGATTTATTATATCTTTAACTAATTGTTCTAATATACCAATATATTGAACCATTTCACTAGGATGAGGATCAGATACCAGAGATCTGTAATATAACAGAATTTAATTTATTCAATAGAATGTTTTGTCAAAATTAAGAAATGATGTGGTTTTAATGAAATTACACATAATTGCGCAATCCTTCTCGTTTTTTTGCTATATCATGTAGCATGGTGATAAAATGTTTTGCTGTCTTTATTGATATCTCTCTTGCAGATTCATCATCTGTGACTCCTAAATTAAATGATATTTGTTAAATTATCTTAAAACACGGGAATATAATTACTATTATTTTAATGAAAATTTGTTATTGATACAGACCTAATAACAATAAAATTTGTTGGTAAACTCCATTTGTAATATCTGTACTTTCATTAAAAACTTTCATGTCTTCATAGAAAGCCATAGAAAGGGATTCTTCTAAAAGCTGTTCTTGAGCAGGTGAAAAATGTATTTCTGTACCAGCAAGGGCATAAACATATATTAACAAAGCAAGAAGATTTTCAGTATCTAATTTTCTATCGTGTCGTGTTCTTATGATGTTGCTTAGCTAAAATGGATTTCATTTTATTTTGTATGTGTTCTGATAGTTTTGTAAATTAATTTAATCAAGAATAACTTAATAATTACTTGTGTTAATACACTTGAAGAATCTCTACTGACTGCTACATTTTGTGATATCAATTTTTCGATACTAAGAAGCAACTCTATCTGCATATTTTTATCTGATTTCAGTGACTGCACAATTGCCCAAATTATCTGAAAGTTCATAATAATAAAAGTTATTTATTAAGTTTTTAAGCATATTCTGAGCCCTATTAATATTAAAAATTACATCACTTGTAATTGTTTGCTGGATTCTAATGTAGAATATATCTCATTTTTATCCTGAAATTTGTACATTTGCTTTTCTAAACTATGGACAGAAACTCTTGTAGTTATTTTAGATTTAGGACTTCCTTTTGATGTTAAAATATTTTGAAGTAAATGATTTGCAGTTACAAGGACAGCTTGCTGTTTCTTTGAGATCAAGCTGTCAATCAAATTTTTATCAGTAGTTGCTAAGCATCCTGGTATTTCAATAAATGGTGCATCTATCTTAAAAGATAATATCGATAATATGTGATATAATCAATAAGCAAATATTCATATATTTACCATTGATTCACAAACGACCGGATTCATATTTACTGCAATATCATTGGTGTGGTTAGGCAAATGTGGTAAAATACATAACATCCTTGACAGAACTGAATTCGTATCATGACTAGTAACAGCACTTAAATCTAATGTTCTATCAATTAAAATTAAAGATATTCTGGACCCAGATGCTCCATTTAGTTTCTAATATAAAATTTAGTAACTCACACATATAAACGTAGAATTATTATCTTTTATATTTGATAAATTATATACTCACAGATCTACGTTTGATTGCTGCAGGTAAATTCTTTAATGTTTCTGCTATATAATCACTACATTTACCGATCGAATATATGTCTTCTATAATATCCAAATGATGAAAAAAGCTTTCCAAAGAGCTTACAAAATGATTTATGTACAATTCTGTTTCTTTAATTTTATTAGCATCAGGTATATGAATTGGTGGCATTAAATTTGCAAATGGTGGAGTAGTAAATATACTTCTGGTTAGAAGACTTATAAAAATGGGAACATAAATGATTTTTATGGAAATATTCTATAAAATAACATTTAGTTAATATAATATATATTTTCATAAAGTTGAGGAGTAATTTGTACATGAAATATCTCAAACAAATTACCTGCAAGAGATTTTTAGAATTTATGAAACTTTGTAAATCCTCTTTCATTTTTGTATAATTCTTTATTTCTTTATTTGATATATTATTATCGTAATTCATTGTTCTATAGTGTACACTAGTGATAATAGTATAACTTTTAAATTCATTTTGTTCCATTATCATTTTAATAATATATTCATAAAAATTTGCATAAGCAGAAGTGGAAATAATCACAGCTTTTCCATCATTATTATCCTTTATATTCTGCATGAAAATATTCCAACAAATATATTTATGTCAATCTTATTTTCGTTGTTCTATACAAATATATACGTACATGTAAACTATAGGTAGCTAATTCATGTACAGAAAATGCTCCTGCAGTTTTTAATGCAAGATATCCTTGATCACCTGTATGCCAGTGAAGACATTCTGTTGCTGCAGAATCTATAAAAACAACAGCTTCGTGTACCTCCATAAAAATACTCTTCCAACATTTATGTGTAAATTCTTCTACTTTATCAATGAAATTCATTTTTATTCCCTTATGTAAATACTTGTGTGTCACTTTCTTTTCCTTATTATTACAGATCTGTCAAATAGTTTAAATTGCACAAAATAACTTTTATTTTATCATATATTTATTTATATATGTATATAATTAAAGAAATAACAAAATCTATATCATCGAATCATTAATTGTATTATTATTCACAATAATTTTCACAATAAAAAAGTTTTTCACAATATTCTTCTTAATTCTCATTTTTGTTAAACATTTATTACTTGCTGTCGGTAATTTGACTGATAATTTTGAATAAAATAATAAACACTAGAGGCGCTTCCATCTGTAAGACTTGTAATATTTGAAGTTAGCCGCTTATAATGTAAGCACCAATCGCATACTTTGACCAGTTGAAGTTTAAAAGTTATTATTTATATTATTATATGTTATTTTTTAAGTAAATATAATATTTCAAATAAAAATGTTAGCTACGCCAAAAAGTAAAGGGGACCTATTTTTGGCTTCTTCACTTTGCGATGGTCTTGAAGATACAAATATAAAGTGAAGTACAATATTTTTATTATAAATATTTGATGTACAAATTTATAATTAACATAAGTGAATACAATTATCTTTTCATTTAATATTTACGTACTTAATTTATTATAGACAAGTGACAACTCTTATATTGAATAAAGAGGCAGATCCTAATGTTTTAATTCCCACACATGGAATTACTCCGTTTCATTTAGTGATTGGCAATGATTCAGAAATATTTGCAGAAGAAGTAACAAAATTATTTTTACGACATGGTGGAAATCCTAATGTTAAGTAAGTATCAGTCAACTTGTGTAACATAGATTAAATAAAATAAATTCGAAATTTTCATATTTAATTCTATAGGTCTGTTGATGGATTAACACCTGTTCATGTTGCCGCTGCTTGGGGTAGAATACGTATTTTAGAGTTACTGTTATCAAATGGTGGTGATCCTTTACAGTTAGACGACGAAGGTCAAAGTCCATTTCATTATGCATTTGATGGAAAGTATTATAAAGTTATTACACTTCTTGGAAAATATTGTGGTTATAATATAGATGAAGATGGAAAACCAAAATATAAATTATCATTAGGTAAACAAAGATATATTGTTGCATATAATATTTGTATACAATTTTGGTTTATCGAAGGAATTCCAAAATTTTATTAATAACTTTCTTTCTATTTTATGTTATAGATAAAATTGTCTTAAATAATGGTAATGCTGTAGCTGAATATATCATACCAAAAAATACTTCGTTAAATGTAAACTATGATGGCTCAAGTAAAATGATTTTGAAATATTCTAATGAACATATATCTAGTGATATAGATGACTCCTGTATGACTTCCATTGTATCATCTTTTCCATCAAAACAAGGTTTAAAGAAAGATGAATTAGATTTTATGTTTGAAAAACTTTGCATTAATGAAAATGTTAAAAAGGAGAAAGTTCTCATTAGTGAAATTATTAATTCTCTTTCTACATCACTTACAAGCGATGCAACTATTAATGAAACCTTCTTAGATCATGTAAAACATGAGAAACAAAGTATGCCTACAAAAAGTTCACCTAAGAATTGTATTTTACCATTATTATCTTCAAGTCAAAAGACGAGTTCTAAATTTAATTCTATAAAATCAAAGAAAAAATATGTCACATCAAAATTCAAGCAAAAAGATTTATTATCGCATGATTTTAACGAACCACTAATTGAGTCTTGTAAATCTAAATCTACAAAAAAATCCAAGACAAATGTTCATAAATTACCTTTTATGTCATCAAGTATTTTAGATAATTCAATTATAAGTACTTCACCGAATTTTTATACTCCAATAAACAAAAGAAAAAGACAAAATATAGTTAAAACTTCGAATGTCGAAAGCTATTCTCCATCAAATAATCCTAGAAACAAATACATTAAATCCATTTTTACACCATATCCAAGAAAACAATATAAATCACCGATTTCTTATGAATACAATGAGCAAAGAAAAAAAATGATTCAATCTACACCAAGAAGAAAGCAAAGGAATATTCAGACTTCTTGTAAAGATATGAAAAAATGTTATTATCCATATACGAGAAATGGAGATAAAAAAATGAATTCTGCAATAGAACATTCAGACAAGACATTTAATCTTATTTCAGGTGATACTTCTATATTATCGTTATCACCAGACGATTCATATTTTCCTAAACAGAAAAATAATGAAAGATATGTGGATAAACGATTTGCTGTGAAATTACATGAAGGCAAATATGATGAAAACATAAATGTTTTATCTTATGATGATACTTCTACTATTTTAACCAATTCTGATAATACAACAATATCTTCAAATATTTTACAATCTTTAACGGATTTAGAAAGCACAAATATTATTAACAATAATAATCAACATGTAAATAATAATGATCCTTATGAAATATATAATCATATACAATCATCAGCTAAATGTGCGGATTTGAAAAAGATGAAGGCACATAACTGTGTTTCTGAAATTGAAAAATATATGACAACAACATTAAATATTGAAAAACAAGTTTTATCAAATAATACAGAAATAAATGATTTACAGAATAGAAAACTAAATGAATATAATGTATTAGAACAAAGTATATCAATGTCAGGGTTAGTGTCTTATAATTATAATATGTAATGTCAAAGTTTATAGAAAAATTTTAAT